AATAAAACTTTCACAGGAAACAGTGAAATGGCTAAAGAATCATTCTGAGCCTTCATTCTCCTCATTGTGCCACCAAATGAAATACAGACAGATGATCCATTCATAGTCTCATTGTCTCCCTCTCCCGAAATGGCTCTGATTAAGTGACGTATGGGTCGCTCAGAGCTGAAGCAGTAGCAACGATCATTTCACATTTAATGAAGACCATCACTATTTTTAGCTGGCTCTATTTATTAGAAAGTGAACCGAAGAGTGTATGGCAGTGGACTGTGTGGTTTACTGTTAGGGGAGCCGTAACGTGTGGCAAAAGGTGAAATCAAAGAGTCAGGAATATTTTGTCCACGTTCATTTGCAATGAATGGAAATTAACATCATAGCAAGTGAATATTCTATTTACCCACACCACAGAGACTATGTTAAGAGTAATTATAAATTCTTGGCTTGTTTTATTATTATTGATGTGATGGTGGAAGGAAACCAAGATCATTTTCTAAAGATACAGTTGAAAAGGGGAATTCATTTGTAAGGAAATAACTACCACAGTAATATTGGTATTGACTAGATTTAAATCCCACAGTCCTTAAGGCAACTCAGGGTCCCGCACGTAAGTATAAAATAAGGTACAAATACTATAGTTAGGAAGACAGCAAAGCTCGATGTTGAAATGAGAGCGGATGAGTTACAATAAAGAGAATCAGGGTGTGAATGTCCAATGTGAACAACCACATCACGGGGAGGGTGTTGGGGAGATGAGGAGAGGCTTCAACCGCAGACTCAGCCTTCCAGACCAGATGGTGGGATACTGAGTGTGAGCACTTCTGCTTTGGAGTATCAAGGGAGAGCTAGCTTGGCTAGCTTGGGAGAGCTGCTTGGCAGAGACAGACTAGTCTTAAGGAATTCAGTTTTTTTTTAATACCATGGGTCCTACGCTTATGTGTTTGTGCCATATGGGTCTCTCTGCCAAGCAACAGGGCCCCAAAGCCCACCCTCAATGTTTAAAGCCCACCTTCGTGAAACATCTGCTTCCTCTGATTCCTCTCTATGAAGATGAGATGTACCTGCATGGGAATGGGTGACATGACTTATCCAAAGGGAAGGGTACACTAACAGACCGCAAGATGTTTTCAATAACATAACCGAGAAGATGCAACCCTCTTTAGAGCCATGACGAGACAAATTTCCAGTCTCTTCAGTAGGACAAAACAAACAAACAAACAAACCAAGAGTTCAACTGATTTCTGCAAATGTTTTCACTAGCACCGACATGGAACCCTACCCCTCGGACAGGTCAGCACCAACAACAAAGGAGCTCTCAGACCTCTGCCCTAGAGCCCTCCAGGGACAAGCTGCTGGACTTCTGGGACTGCTCTGCTGGGAATCCACCAGAGGCTCGCATAAAGGAGTGAGCGTTTGCATTCTCCTGACATCCTCTCCTGCTGGACCCTGCCAGATGAGAGCTGCAATTTCCTTAGCTTAGTGCCCAGGAGGCAGATTCTCAAAAGCCGGGTGCGGAGGCAACCAAGTGAAAGAATTATCGACCATGTATACGCAGGGTTGAAAGCAGCAAATAGAGCTGGATTAAGAATGAAGACCTCAGCACTCCACTCAGAGTGTCACTGTAGGAAACTGCTCAGGAAGTCTGCGTCCTGTACTCACAGGCCCGTGGAAGCAACCTGCAGGCATGTGCTGTTTTCCGACTCTCCGACAGACCACGTGCAGTTGTGTCTATAAGTGCAATGACAGTTCGCACACACTGAAAGGTTCAGGACGCCTCTTCTGATATTGCGGGACGGCAAAGGCACTGGTGAAGACACTCTCCAGCTTGCTGGGGATGGAGTGCACCCCTCCAGCTGCACTCCCCTTGGCCTTCCTCCATTAAACACCCACAGAAGTGAGTGAACGAGCCAGAGAGCGAATGCTTATTCTTTTTATGTTTTAATGAAAGACTTCCTTTTAGATTTAATTCACTGTACTACTAGCGATTATAACTTCTGCAATGTAGTTCACATTCTGGCCTGATGGGAGTTCTCTTCAGAAAAGGTCACTTGGGTGGTATGAACAATTTCCTGGGGCAGTTTTTGGTGCATCATGCAATGGAGAGGGGAGAGGGACCCCAATCAATTGCTTCCCTCACAGAACTAAAGGAGGATACCAAGCCCCACAGGGCACATGAGTGTAGGGCCAGATCGTAAATGGCTGTCAAGTAAGTTTTGAAAGCCAGAATTTGGGAAGCCCCAGCCATGCATTCTTAAGGCATTTCTTGGCCTAACTTGATAGATTGATTCTGAAAACATACACTAATTTTTTAAATGCAAAACAGACCCACTTGTGTTAGGGCCTGCACAAACAGAGGGCCAGGAGAGTGGAAACAGCATAAACAATGTTGTTTATATCCAAGGCCTGAGCAAACTGATGCACTTTCCTCCAAAATTGCAGGAAGTATCAGAGTAACCCCCATCCACGGAGGTGGAATGAGAACCATATTTTCCACAGGAATGGAGACAATTTTTCAGATACACTGACATTAAAGGATCTCGAAGCAGAAGCACAATTAATAAAGGATGGGCTCTCCTCTGACCTGCAATGGAAGGGCAGAACGTCCCAGCCATAAACAATGCCTCCAAGTTAAAACTAAGTGAAACCAAACACAGCAGAAGGGCAGATGTGAGAAGCACATAGCATTTTCATTGTTCTGCTTCACTTTTGACCTCGTGTAGAGGCCTGTGAATGGTTCCTGCCGCTGAGCACCTACAAGGAGACTATGACTGCCTCCGGAGTAACCAGCCATGTGCCTTGGAATCCTGGAGTTTGAGAAGCACTTTGGAGTAGACCTGCTTCACCCTTTTTTCCTCACTTGGCTTCTTTAATACATTTCTCCATTTTTTTTTTTGTTATTGTAAAAGACTATATTTAAAAGCAAGCAACAGGAAGCTTTTACTTGGGAAGTTGAGGTTTAAGCACTTGGTGGCAAACAATGAACCGGAGAGATAAAGATGCAACGCAAATGGTTGGGAACAGACCTTTTGCTAGTTTCCTGCCCAAGTTGACTTGTGAGCGTGTGTGAGGCCACGATAGGGACTACCAGTGCTATTTTGCTTTTATTTACTCCAATTTATTTGTTCCTGTGAAAACCCCTATAAAAACAAATTGTGAGGACAAACAATGGAAACCTTGCCATCTCCTTCTTGCCAGAGCTTTTATTTTCCACATTATCAAATGTTTTCATCAGTGGAGCTCAGCCCATTCATTCAACTCTGAATCACAACCCAGATCATATTGCATTGGGGCTGGAGGGGTGGGAAGACAGCTATGCATTGACTGTGTCAAGAAAGAAAGAAGGAAAAGGGGGGGGGCTGCAGGGGAGAGAGAAAGAAGATAAGGAAGGGAGGAAAGAAAGAGAGGAAGAAAGAAGGAAAAAGAAAAGAAAAGAGAAAAAAAGAAAGAAGAGTCCCTATCACCCTGTCCCTTTGACACAGAAACAAATTGGTGGTCCTTTGTAACACTCCAAGATGAATACTGTGCCCCCAAATCATCAAGTAAACTAGAACTTTTAAAAAAGCAAGCTTGCAAGTCTATAACATAATTTTACCTTCATCCTCTTTTTTTTTTTTTTTTACCCCTTTCCCCAAACAGGTATCCATGTCAAAGGAGAACTCTTGAGTTGGGGGTTTGTTTGACCTAGGTCATGCAAAGGTCAAGCTTTTCACCAGTTGTTAACACAAAGCTTCTAGCCAACCCACCCTCCAGATCTGGCTACACAGTCTATTTCCATCTGCAAATGCGCCATGCACATTGGGTTTTTCTCAGCTTTGCAGGAACTAACAATCCCTTCACTGTGAAGTGGTCTCAGTGACAAATAAATAGGTCAAACACTCTTCGGTGAAACTGTAGGAGCTGAATTTGCCAAATATGGAAATGTAATGGATTTTGACTTTTTCATTTTTAAAAAGGCTTTTTAAAGTATTATTTTAAAACCAGTTGAACAGATCGCTTTATACCTTTATTGAACTTCAAGGGATGCTGTCTTTTAAGCAGTTTTATGCAATCCAAACTATATTTTTGTCTCTCTGAAAGAGATCAATATTTATTCAGATTGATTTTTAAGATTTACATGTGAAAAATAGATAAAATTGGATCAAATATACACCAAAACTAATTCTGTCAACTCCCATGAAAGTCAATAAAGCCAAAATAAATTTAGCAGATTTCATCTACCTGCATTTGAGAATTGTTTTACTTCATTATTTCTTATAAACTTACTGAGCAGAAATTTGCTTAACTCTTATCCAAGCTTCTCCTACTGAAACAATAAGACTCTCTATGGAATATTTTGCACTTGAATATTATCACCAGGATAGCATATGGCAAACTAGCAGTAGGCAGTTTATCTTCATCCTCTTTGTAAGCTAAAATTAGCACAATGCTTTTGCAGCATTCTACACTTGACTCGGCCGGGGCGATATTCTCCACAATGCGATGCTTGTTCCACATCTTGCTCTTTTCCAATATTTAAGCAAATTGGTTGAAGGTTTATATTAACAGTTACCGATACATTTTAATGCAACAAAACCCCAAAGTAACACCCACGATGAAAAGTAAACCAGCTATGTTAGGAATCAACCTGGAAAAAAACTTCCTTCATCTGCTTCCTGAAATATATAGTGTTTCAACTACAAAGTAGTTCAAATGTTTACAGAGGCTAATTGTACCAAGTGGGATATATATATAAGGCTCCAAAAGCAAGACCCAATTACCTTCTTAGACAACTAAGGCTTATTTTTCTACATGTTTACCATATTCAGTTTTTCTGGGTAATGCGTCCTTGATGCTAAAAATGCATTGTTGCTGAGAATTAAGTATGCACTTGGAGAGGATTAAATGAAGGTGATCTGCCAATGGAAAGAGCTTACACTCTTTAAACAGGAAAGCAGCTACTGGCTAGCTCTTTGAAAGGATTACAACACAAACAATGATTTTAAAAACAATGGTGGAGGTTCAAATAATACATCCCTTTTAGCTGGGCTGTAGCAGTGTAATCTTCTCATCAAATAGTTAAAAACAAAAACCTTGAGGAAGAATTCGCTTTAGAGAAGATTGGCAGGTAAGCAGCCGAGGGATATTTACCTTAGGAGCAGAAATACTTCCATCTCCTCCTGTCCCCGCCTCGCTTTTCACGTGGTTTATCAGGGCAGATGTTATACTAACAAGATTTTGCTGGAAATTTCACTATTCGATATCAGACTGAAGTTTCTGTTTCTTTGTGTGCCGGGACAGAGGTGTCACAGCTTGTTACCAACAGATTAAAGCCAACACGACAAACATGCTGTTGGCCGGTTTGTAGCAATAGATGAAAAAATTCTTCATCATTTTTTGGAGGGGAAAGATAATTTCTCAAAAGCTCGTTGTATATTTGACCTAGCCACATTATTCTCTGAAGTATACATTTTATCAAAGGAAAAAAAATGAAAATCCTCTATAAACCTGGTAAGGATATCTCATCCATGATCTACCTAAAACAATATTTCACTTGACATAGTATCTTACTCCATCTATCCCAGTTATTCCTGATCCACCCCCCACCCCCAAAACAGATAAATTGTACTGGGGGGAGGGGGAGCAAAATATAAAGCAGTTATATATTTCACACCTAATTCAAAAAATGATATGCATTTGACCTTGTCAGCAACATCTGTGTATGAAAGGCTCAAATCCATGACACTACTTTGCACCCAGATATTTTGAAAACCCGGATATTGGGGATGGTCTATACTTTTTGATTGCTATTATCAACGCTAAGTCCTAGATTCAGATTTCCTTCTCACAGACCATGAAATTATGGGTTTACTAACCTTCTGCAAATTTCAATCTATATGTAAAATGTTTATTGCAAGTTCTTTATTCCATCTAGGTTTATATGCAAAGTTTCAACTTGGTTCTTAGAATTTCAGAACTGAAGGAAAACATTTCAATCATCTAGCCCAACGTCTTTTATTCACAGGAGACATTTCATCTCAGCAAGGCTACGCAAGTTGTCCGACCCACAGCGGAGGGCCCATAAACTGGCCAGCGGGGATGGCTCCCAGCACCTGCGCTCCACCCGGGGTGCTCTCCCGAGTCCACCACACAGCTCAGCGTAAGTTCCCAGTGTGCACATAAACAAGTATTTAAAATAATTTTTGGTCACCATAAGCTAATCCTCACACAGAGCCAATCACACTGCATTACCTGAGGTTTCAGCATCTGTTTCCATGACACCAAATCAGTGGCATGATGCTTCAATGGGGGAATTTAGGTATTAATGATTTATCATATAGTATCACACACGTGTGTGAACCCCTGTATATGAGCACAAAAATTACAGCCAAACAAGTGTTGAAATGGAATGGTAGGTTATGGGCATTCGTTCTGTTTTTCTGTATGCATGAAAAGATTCATACTAGAAAGTTTGGAAAATGCACGTCATATGTGGAAAAAGAGTCTCAAGGCAATGCTCCACAAGTCTTAACCCTGTATTTTTCATTTTCTACATAACATCTTTGGCTCTCGAGTGAGAGGCACCGAATTGCACTACGATAAAACAGTCATCGCCACATGCGGAAGGAATTCCTCTCTTAAAAGGAGCTGTCAGGCTTGGCGGTTAGGAAACCACCTCTACTCCTTCGAACAGGAGTGAAATGGGTCTGCAACCAAAACTTCAAAGCTCATTACCATGTCAAGACAGAGTCGATAGAAAAACTTAAAAGTCAAAATAGAAATGAACTCCCTATGTTCTCATCATGACTAGGCTACAACACTGTACACATACAAAGAAGGAAAAGAAAAGACATGAACAAGGGGGTGGGGACAGGGAGAGAGGGCAGGCAGCACTGCCCGTCACTTCACCGGAGAGAGAAGCAGCAAAGCCGCTCTGCCACCGACAACGCAGACCTGCCTGTAAGTCTAGTCTCACCTCCCATTAACTTCCCAGGATCAACATTTCCCATTCACTATTAATAGACAAGCCATACTCTGAACCCGATTTTACCAACTGCAATCGCTATAAACCTAGTCCTCAAGCTCTGTCTACTACTTGGTAAAATGTATCTGTAATACTAAGAATTATATTCTTCTATCTTAAAACTTACTCATAACATGGCAACCTGAAATTCAAAGGCCTAATACTGCCCAATAGCTTCACAGCAAACCAAAGACTATTATGATGAGACTGAGACCAGAGCTGTGAGAAGAGACTTTGTCGTTGGGTAGATACAGTCTCCATCGGACTGGGCTCCTGCGAGACAACTCCACCCAGGTCCTCTGAGAGCACAGCACCCTACCCCAACCTGACCATCCTCAAGAGGTGTGGATGTCATTCCACATGTCACTTTGAATGACACTGCAGTTATTTTCTCACAGACCCCTTAATATGTGGTGTAGAAATAGCACTAGCTGTTGTTTAAAAAGAATCCAGTGGACCAGTGGCATTAGGGTAACCGAAGTACCACCTGCAACCTAAGTCTCTGCTTACTCACTGATGATAAGGATGAAGTCCTTATCATCACCTCTTAAACTAAAAGTGACAGATTTACAACTTGAGACATTTGGGACTGATGGGCAACAGCACGGAGTCTTGTTGGAGTGGAGATCTCAGTCCCTAGCAAGCTTAGAACGCCCTCCATTCTGAAGCAAAAGGGCAAATGAACACTCTCCATTGTAAAGACACACTTTAGAATAGTACCAGGTTCTCAGTTCCTTGTTACACCATCACCCACACTCAGAAATGCGCACCAGTATACACCAGAGTCTCTCTTTTCTCAGAGAAAAACAAACCAAATGATGACGGTGGTGGTCGTGGTAAGGACGCAGACTGTTAGCAGATATACAAAATTCACTCTGTGGGCACTCTTCTAAGTTCAATATATCAACTTATTTGGTCTTCTCGACTGCCCTATAAGTAGGTACTAATATTACCCCCATTTTACAAATGAGTTTAAGTTGTTCTGCCCAAAGAAGTGAAAACTAAGTCATTTTTTCATAGGGAGAGGCCAATGTAAGCTTGCTCCAGATCTAGTCACCCACTGAAACCCCCTCATGGCCGAAAATGAAAAAGAGCATCGACTGGATTGGATGAAAAAGCAGGTTACTCCCAAAGAGAACAGTACCGGGAAGTATGTTTGTCCCAGAAGTTTCTTAGTTCAGAAGTGAAGCGGGCAATGAACACTGAACCCTAAATTCCCCAAGGCCAGGAATTCGTCTTATTCGTCTGTTATCTCAGGATTTAGTACAGTGCCAAGTATACAGGAGGTCCTCTGTGAGTGATGAGTGAGTGAGGGAGGGAATGAATGAATGAATGAATGAATGAATGAATGAAATATAATGCTAAGCAGTGCCCGATGACTTTTTTCTAAAGTGCCTTCCTAGTTTTATCCTCTTCTCTCTTCCTTATGAGAGACAGAGGACTAGTGGATGCATTTCAGAAATAAATGGACCAAAAAGATATCAGTTCTTGGTCAATCTTCACTTAAGAAAGGAGATGTGAATGGCTGCCCTGCTATGAGATTGTTGGTATAAGGCTCACAGACTAAGTTGGGTGGACACATTTCGTAAAGTGAAAGCGTGAAAAATGTATTATTTGTTAGATTTTTTTCACCATCACCTAGCATTATACATGGCTCATAGTGGGTCCTCAACAAATATTTGTTAAATAATGGAAGATGAAAATGAAGGAGCCACATGTCACTGATCCCCTACGTCCTGACTCCCAAGAGGGCCTCTGCGAGGCTGAGAACAGTGGGAGCCAAGCTTGGCAGCAGGAATGAAAGCTCAGGTACAGATGCCCTTTATGTCTTTAGGTTGGAGTTGGAAAAGGTACATCCAATTCCACCTCAAAATAAAATATATTGTCAGCCTTATGGACAAGTACAACTGATGGGAATAAAGAGGGGACTTGGGGGTACAGGCTTGAAAATCAAGCCAATGGTCCCCAACTCCTGAGCCCCTCTTCTCTCCTCTCCTCTCCTTCCCTCCACCCTGTACCCCAGGTCACAAGCCAAGAAAAGGCAGCGTCATTGCTGTCATTCTGCTCCTCTGAAATAGGAACCTGGATTAGCTCTGGCTGGCTGAAGCTCAACCCAGATAAGTCCAGGGCAATGCTGATAGGCAGCGGGAAGGAATTTGAGGAAGTGACAAGAAATGCCACGTCATCCGCCATAAAGAAAGCTCTCCCACAAAGTGGCCCAGGAGGTGACTACAGAGCGGCTGGTGCTCAGAAAAACGCAGATAAACGCAGGAGTCTTTCTCAGCAGCAGGACAGAGAGCCAGCCACAAACAACTCACGTCCTTGCCACATCCTTCAGTGACTACGGGGAGGAATGCAGAACACGCTCCTCCCACACTCCCCCTCCCCCTCCCGCCTCCCGCCGCCCACAGCAGCCTGAGCTCAGAGTCTGGGTGCCCTCCCTCTGCAGAGGCCCAGACACCCGAGGGAGCAGATGCGTCTCTGTTCATTTCTACCATATTAACCAAAGAATCACCAGTCATCCTGAGGATGTGTCCTTTTTTTTTTTTTTTACAAAGATCCTAGGTTATAGACTCTTTCCATCTCAGGGAAGGGGATGGACCATGTCAGAAATAAACTCTCCCTAATTTCATTCACCAAGTAATGGACATCATAATAATCCGCAGTGGCATCTGTCATCACCAAGATTTCCACTGTCCTTCGCAAAAGTTTCACAGAAAAGTGGAAGTCAGCAAGGAGCTATTCTCCGAAGAAATCCACATGGAAAGGAGTGGGGCCCGGCAAAGAAGCCTGGGGAGAGTGGACTTCTCTGTCACTGTGGCTTTTTAAAAGACAGATGAGACTCCTTATTGGTTTTATATGGTATGGCTTTCTTTGCTGATATTTTAAAACCATTCAAAGGACCTGTTCTCAAAAGAAAAGTATACAAAACTTGCTTGAGATATTTTCACAAGGAAATCTGTGCTTTGAAACATAATTGGAAGGTCGATTTTTTTTTCAAAATCCAGTCTCTATCATCAATACTACCAGTGACTACTTAAAAAGGCACATTGGATGAACTCTCAGCTTGGACATCTACTGGATAAATCTCACAGCCCAGTGTGCTAACCATCTCTGCCAGAAACTCTGGCTTACATTCTGTGATCTCAAATTGTCCTGCAATGCCTATCTAGAGAGAAATTTGAGTCCCTGGTGTCCCAGAGGTTTCATAAGGGCCACAGTTGTCGGCAGACCAGATTTTCTTCCTGGGTGGCCAGGGACATATTTCAATACCATACATTTTTGCTCAGAACTCTTTGAGAACACACCAAATGGAAAATGATTAAAATTACATTTACTCACTCTCGCATATTAGCATCAAATTATTAGTTATATTAGTGGCTTACATTTACATTAAACTTGCAAATGATATAGACCTTATTTCCATTCTATGAGCATCTTAATTTTTTCCCTGCATGCATATCTAATCATTTGCTTACCTCTTATCACTCCGGGAACCTACAGTTTTAATTCCATGGATTTCCACAGGGCAAGAATCTAGGCCACTGTTTATGCACAGAAATCAATTCAGCCATCACTATACTGCGCATCAAAACAACATTTTAAAAGCAAAAGTTGAAGCCAGTGGCATTGAGCCAAAGCACCTCTCCTCAAACGGAAACGCAGTGGGATTTTTAAGAGCAAATAGGACACACGGCTGAGGCTTTGTGCCTCACCAAGGACTGGGAGTCCTTAAAGGCCCAGAGTTTTTCAGTTCAGATCTGGAACTGAAGACTTTGTGCCCCAAGAAGAGTGCCGATTGCCATTCCGTCCCCAACCCCCTCCCCCCGGCACTTCCGTACTGTCCCACGTACAAATATTCACCAGGTCAATTTGCTCCCTCTTTTCCCCTAGTGACATCACTAACCAGTGACGCTTAATGCTTTTAATTAGAATCTGGAAGAGCGTTTGGCACCTATTGCGTTTTTACAAGAACTGCATCTCTGAAATGCAGTATTACATTAACATGATAATTTCAAAAGAAATCATATTCCTAAGTATCATAAATCACAGAAACACCATTTACTTCTTCTAGAATTGTATTCAATCTGCAAACTACCTACTGTATTCATGTTAATCTTTGCAGTTGTATATTAAAGCCATAAAAAGTCCCCCCCCACACACACCATAGCTTCTTCCCACAGCTCCAATCAAGGTGAACTAAGAAAATCTGGCCTAGGGTACGCATGTCTACTGCCATTTCCCACAGCACATAGGGCGTTTTCCTCTGGGAATGAAACATTTTCCTTAAACTGCTGTTTATAATCCCTTATCAGCCAAACAGCCATAGAGCCATCAAGTCCAATCTCATGTGAAAAAAAGTCAAGGTCAACAAGTACTTGCATTTTTGTTTATCTTTAGCTGAAATTGCTACTGACATTCAATTGGGTAATAAACATGAGGTCTGTCAAACGTTCCCAACAAACAGGTGATCCAGAAGCTATCTCAGAACAAGGCCACTGCCAGGTAATCAAACAATCCTGTTAGAACAATTATGATTTGAGTGCATTTATTTACCGATTCAAACACCAGTCAGCTCTGAGTGAATACTGCCATCCCATTTCCACCGCTGGGCACTGAGACTGCGTAGGGACAGGAGGGCTCTTGCTAGAATTCCTCACCAACGACACTGCATGCACTCCCACCAGCAGAGTGCCATCCACAGAAAAGGCTCTCTCCTCTTCTCCCTCCTATTTAAAGGCAATTTTGCGCAGCTCAGTACAGCCATGTCCTTTCCTACGCTGTCCAGGTCCCTGAGCCCAGTCGCCTCTCTCTGCCTGAAAACCAGTTCCACGGTCATGGGTGTGTATGTCTCTTTGGAACTGCTGCATTATTCTTCTAAGCCAGCATGGTTGCTGCATTAGAAAATACCTCATTTTAACTTGAAAAGTGGTAGGAATTGTTCAGCATGTTTAATTCTACGGAGTCAGATAGATATCTGGAATAAAGGCCACATACTTCTTTTCAATCCATCATGAAATTCACTGATATCAACAGGAGTTATGCATTTGGACCCGGATAGACATGGCTCCATGCCATATTCGACTTACAGATTAAAAATAGAATCTGTTCCAGCTGCAAAGTAAGACACGTTAAACTTACTGCCTCCATTTGAAAGATGGAAATCAAATCAAAGGGCTATGCCTGCTGCCTAAGACGGTGGCCCTGACCCACATAACACGACCCCACTGCCTCCACTTCTGTTTCAACAAAAGGACTCAAGGAACATTCTTGGGGCCTAAAAGTAATGCTTCCGCTTCTCCTCATGCAGCTTTCACTAACATCCCATCATTTAGCAGAGCAATCCATGTTGTCCAAAGCCGATTCCTTTCCTATCAAGAACATTAGGACATCTGGAACCGAAGTAAAGGACAATCCTTCTAAAAATATACAGACCCACATCCTGAGAAAAAAAGTAAAAACTAAAATCAAAACAAATTCAGACTCACAAAATGAAGTGCACTCTTTTTACAGACAACTGTCAGTGTTGACATACTAAGTGCACGTGATACTGTTGGTAAAAAATATATATCGTTTCGGTATTTTAAAAAACGATCCTTCCTTCTTTATCATTGTGGCAAAAAAGCGAACACAAGCAGAGTTGTATCAGCAGGCGCAAGAGTATTTTATTTCCAACCCTGAAGTCTAGTAAGTCCTGAAGATTCTGCATAAAAAGAAAACTTAGCAGCCCGGGAGGTGGGAAGGCTGGAGTACACCAGGGTCAGAATCCGCTGGGAGTCTGTGGGCACGAAGGCCCGTGAAGCAAAACATCTCCTCCGCAAATACTCAGGAAATGTTCATCAATCAGTTGTCAAGCAAAGGGGGAAGTCACCTTATTTTCAGAGTAGTAAACTGATGAAATGAGTCACCAAATTCCCATGGTAGTGCGGCTGGCCTCTTCCTTTCCACTCAGCCCCTGGTCCCCACAGGGCCAGAACCTTCTCCATGGGAAAAAAGGGTGGCGGGGAGAGAGGGTCGGCTGGGCTTCTTCAATCCACCCTCAGGAAAGGCTGGAAAAAATGTTACAAGTGTCCAGCCAGGCAGTGAGGTAAAAGCCACAGTCGGCAAGGACCAGCTATAGCGTCCCCATACCTAGGGAGGTAAAGCTACACATGAGAAGACAGAAAGGATGCCAGAAGGGACCTGGGGTCTGTACGGCAGTATTCTGAAACCTCTGCATGACCCTAAGCCTCCAAACCCACTGTCCTGCAGACCCCTCAGTCCCTCCGTCTGGTCCGGCCTCCTTGAAAGCTTTTCTCTGCAGTCCCTTCCCTCCGTCTGACAGCATGGCCTCCACATTTCTGCATGACTGCTGCACTGCCTCCAGTCCTTCTCCCACTGGTCCCTCCTGCACTCAGCTCTGACCATGACACAGCTCGAACGTTTTCAGTGACTCCCCACCGCCTCTCAAACGGACTCCCACCTCCCGAAGACAACACACACGGCCCTTTGTGGGCTGGGCCCTGAACCCATTGGCCTTTCCTCACACTCCTGCCTCCCCACTCCTTGTTTTCTGCTCACGCTGAGGCATGTACAAAGCCTCCGAAGTGTCGTGTTTTCTCTTTATCTTGTTCCTTCACACAAACTTCTTTGCCTCACAGCTCTGCTGCTACTCCACGCGTCCCACTTCCATCACAGACCCAGCCCTCGGACAAGCGACAGGGGAGGTGGGGGTGGGTAGTGTCTTCCTGGAGCGCCTTGCGGAGGAGGACCAGATCCGAGTCCCACTCAGACTTCATGAGAAAGGGTGCTGTGAGCGACGAAGGGGGCCTGCCGTGGAAGGGCAGGGTAAGGGCGCGCCTGGGCCGCGCTGTGGCCTCACGCTGGCCCATTCGTTAGGGGCCGTTCCTCTACTTCCAAATTACACTGAGCCTACTCAGTGCCCTGGGTCACCGGTCTGCCCCTCCGCTGGACTGTCTGCCTCTTCTTTCCAGGAATGGCCTCTTTCACTCTGAATTCTTACATCTCACACTGGACTGGTACACAGTGGACATTCAATTAATGCTCATTCAGTTAGTGAATAGGACTATTTCTCTCTTCACCTCCAATACCTTCGGGACCAATCCTCTCACAAGCTTTATATTCTTAATATTGCCCCAGCTGGTGTGCCTCAGTGGATTGAGTGCCAGCCTGCACACCGAAAGGTCACCAATTTAATTCCCAGTCAGGGCACATGCCTGGGTTGCAGGCCAAGGTCCCTGGTTGGAGGCATGTGTGAGAGGCAATTGAGTGATGTATTTCTTGCACATTGATGTTTCCCTCTTTCTCCCTCCCTTACCTTGTCTCTGAAAATAAATAAATAAAGCCCTTTAAAATAAATAAATAAGTAAATAAATAAATTCGTTATATCAAGCAATACCTTTTATTTGCACTAAATGTGTCCTTTCACATAAGGGGGTGTCCTTGGTGCTGGAATGTGGTAAACCAAATACTGGTAACACACCACCATCTCCAGTTTCGGGGGTGGAAATCTTACTCCCTGGGGTCCCTGTGTTGAACACTGGCACCTGGCTCTTACCGCACCATCACCCCAGCTCAGCGCCTCACTTTAACCATTGCCTGTCTGTCTCTGGCTAAACCGGCCCTGATTCAGGGGGCAATCCCCAGAATGGCAAGGGCATGCTCGCCTGCATTCCCAGCCCCAGGTAGAAGGCAGAGAGACTGGAGGACGGAGCTGACCCACCAGGAAACTGTCAGAAGGAGATGGAAATGCGAGGAAGGGCCCCACGGCATCACCAAATCACTGGCACCTTGGCTCACAGTAACACGGGCTGTCCTCTGTTTCAACCACGGGAATCAAGACTGGCTCAGATACCAAGAAGTTAACTTCACAATGGAGGGAATCCGACTCAGGCATCTGGTCAAATTAGTCAGTCAAATATTTATCAGGCACTGTTTGCAGCACTGTGCCGATGAAGGGAATGAAGGAGGGGCCCTCCGGGTGTTGCTGAAGGTGTCCTTTGAAGCCATTCCCCAGATTCCCGGGGTGGGAGGGCTTCTCTCAGGTCTTTAGATGCCACACAAAGGGATTCTCCTGAGCAAACTCCGCAACTCTCATAACTAATTACATTTCACTCTTCATCTGGGCTGCCAGGAAGCTCCGAGCCAAATGAGGTGCCTGCTTCTATCCACCATACACCTGCACATAATCTTACGACACACATTGTTTTGTGTTACCTCAGGACTGACCTCTTGGTCCTTTTCCTTTCATTTCAATTTCTTCATCTACTTATTTTTACCTTATTGTATACACATACTTTTGTTACCTTCCCTAAATCTTTTCTTAGAATGAAGAGAAGAACATGCAAATGCATTTTTTAATTAAGATATATCCTTCTTTTCCTCAGGAATCAAAGCACAAAAGGGTGTTGAGGTGTTCCTGTCCTTCGGGCAGAGGTGCATGGTAACTGGGGCACAGAGCAAAGCTTCAGTCCACAGCCAATGAAATATATAAAGAAATAGCATGATTAATACTAATAATCTAGCAATGAGCCTACCTACTGGCAACTTCAATGTTTTCTGCATTCACTCTAATTTCCACTTTCTTAGAAATATGTGGTTTTGAAAAAAATGTAAGATTTCCCACATAAGGTCATGTTCTCTTTTCCTCCCAATGTGGAAATAAGGAAAAGGAAGTTCTACATCCTTCATTCCCGGGTAGGAAATGAGATGGTCTGTGTCTAGGAGAGAATGTGTATGGTTGATATTGGTAAATGGGGGAGAGCCAACGCCAATTCTACTAATCAAACTGAATGCTTTTAGGTTAAGTGATTACAGAAAATTATCTGCAAGACTGAACTAATCCAAAAAGCCAGACACTTGAGCAAAACCCAACTCACCAACTATACTTCAGGGACCAATCAATATAAGAAGTAGGCAAGGCCTACCCCTTTTTAAGGAAAATGCTTGGCATAAATTTACTGTTTGGGTTAGTTTTTGCTAGGCCAACAGCCAAAACCTCTACCACTATCCTTAATTAGTGCTAGCTTCACAGGGGAGAGAGACAAATTCAGGATCACAGCTAAATCCCACACCCCAGGGGATGGAAGCACGTCTGCTGCTGGGAAGGGCAAAGGCCATAAAAGCACCCTCCCAGGGAAGCTTAGCTACCCCTGCCACGCAACTCATTCTTCCCCGTACCCAAAGATCCCTCAAAAGATACTAAGATGCTGCCACCAGCCGCCACCCACCCTTTACTGGAAAGCTCTTCAGGGCCAGAGGATGGAAGCCAAGAGGAGAAGTAGGAAGAACAGGAAATTACACGGGTGGCATGGTTTCGGGTGCAACGTTAAAGCCATCTACCACCAGCTTCTGAGAAGGGCCACCCATTACATCTTTCCTCGAGTCCCCCCCGTTCAAATGCGTCTCCAGAGACTGGACAGGTGAGACTTCGGTATCTATTTACATCTTGACAGAGACCGTCCTGTGCGATTAGCCATCTGGCACCCAGAAGACATCAGTCCTGAGGGACCACAGTGCAGTCACCATTTGAAAGCACAAGAGGGCTCCTGATCCTCTTTAATAAATAATTATCCATCAATGGCCATGTGCCCGTAACTACGCTGGGCACAGGAGATTTAAAGATGGAGACTAGTGCCTTCCCAGGAGCGTCCTGGGGAGGCTGACGAATGGAAGGCTCATTTCAATATGTGACAAAGGATAAGACACTGGATACCATGACAACACCGAAGAGGGTCACTTCCTCCAGTCTGCAGGTTCACAGAATACTTCCTGCAGATGACATTTAAGTTTAGAAGTTTTTAACCTGGGCTACATAGACCCTCCCCTCTCCCCACAGAGTCCAGGGTCAGAATTCAAAAGACCCCATAGACTGCAAGAGAAAAAATTTACATTTTCTTCTCACTAACCTCTAATTGGAATTAGCATTTCTTTCAAGTACGTATCCAGGTAACAGACCACAGAACTATCAGCAGGACCTATGACTTTGTCACCAATGAAAATCATATTTATATATCATAGTACAGTTGTCACAAATATCTTAAAATGTCATTTACATTGACCACGATTTCAAAAGTGTGGACAATAGGATTACTGCTAGAACATTTCATTTAGTGCATACTTAACAAAGCATTCATATCACTATGTAAAAATTTGATTTTTTAAGTATTTTGATACTCGGATTTCAATATAATCACCTTCTCTGGTCATCCTACATATTTTATTTTAAGCATTAATAAAAATATTACTCTGATAAGCTATCAACTGACTTCACCACATTGCCAAAGGGACCCCCGCCACTCCCCAAACGTTAAGGTGACTAGTGATGGAGAAAGCAACGATGACACCAGGGGTCAGACTGCAGAGGCCCCGGGTGGCCACGTGGCCGTGTGGGAAGGTGGAGCCAGGTTCCCTCGTGGAAGCTACAGGTCAGGGTTCACCTCCCAGGGCCCCGTAGATGCTGAGCCTCTGTGGCAGCCAACAAAGCACCAAGTTAGAGGTGCCCTTCTGCAGGTGCGACCGAATACCTCTCCCCTGGCCTGTCAGTCAGCACCCCGACCACAGGGTTCACCACGTCTGGGTCATTGGTATGTCGTGAAATAAATACACTCAGCTCCCTAAGAATATTCCGTAGTTCGTGAATATTTTACTTACATATGCTTGATGTTCTTGGTGGCATGCACAAAATTCCTGAGGGCAAATACTAGAACCTACTCATTTTATAGCCTCACACAGAGCACCTGCCATACCTAAGTGCTTAATACATTTTTGATGACTTGACTAGAATGTATAAATTTACATTTCCCGACTTAAATACAACTCATGACAATATTTTTGCCCATCTGTAGAAGCAATTATAATTCTAGGCTCTTTTTATCTCCTTGGGTTATATTAAATGAGTGCTTCCCTAAAATTAACTTCCTCTCTCCAGCTTTGCCAAGAATGACACTGTGTGAAGAATCCGCCGCCCAAGACAATGGATTCTCTCCTGGTTTATGTTCTTGGGTAGAAACCGAAACACACGTTTAAGCTGTGCCAGGCTAAGCGTGGTGGCCCTGGAATGCCTAGGGTGGCTGACCTGAAAAACAAGGTACTGCTTATAGTTTAAAACCCCATGCAGAACTGAGAAAAAAAGAGAAAATGAGAGAGAATAAGAGAAAAGAAAGGTCTTACTTAGAAAGTGAATTAAATAATTACACATTAGGATCTGGATTTTCAAAGCTCAGGTCGCCATTTTTACTATTTATATAAGGCAGTAAAATTCATGCTATGAATATGAGTGCACAGTGCACATTCTCTGTGGCACCCATTTGGGGAAAATACCTTACCACTTGGGAAAGGAAGAACTGGACCTTAGGAACCAGTAACTTCTGAGTGGGCTGCAACAGAAACTATCTCCCACTCCTGCTGAAAGGCTAATGGGTCCAGACAGGGAAGCTTCCACTAATTTATGCAAACTGAGTGAAACCGAAAAGCAGATCCTTTAAAAAAAAAACTCCCATATCTTCTGACTGCAGAGCTAAATGATGAATTGACATGACATCGTAATTCACACAATTCTTTACCACACCTTTTTAAATTTAAAACTATCACACGATTCTTGAGACACCAATGTAATTAATTCCAGAAAAGTCAGAGAATTGCTGTATAATTTTAAAAGTTCTACCAGTTACACTAGAGTTGGTATTTCTT